GTATGGAGAACGGAGAACTAAACAGAACACAGTATTCCAGCTGTGGACTCAACAAACAATTGGGACAAGACTTCCTCTTTACAAGGGCAGTGGAGTTCAGGAACAAAGGAAGGAATACTGTTGGCCTTCCTGCTTGCTTGCTCCACTTGCATATGGCAACTGTGTTCATTGCACAACCATGCCCAAATCTCTGAACAACAACTCTTAGAACTTCTACATCTTTCAAAAAATATTGTACTTTTACGATCAAAGTGAATAACCTCACACTTTGCCACAGTATACTCCATCTGCCCCCTTGTAGCTCACTCACTAGCCTCTCTATATCTGTGTAGCTTCCCAGTTGCCTCCTGCCCTCCTCCCGCTAACTCTGTACCATCAGAGTGATCCCAAGAAGTAACAGAGAATCACTTACGTGCGTCTGAATTGAGACAAAATGTTCACCTCCTCCTGCACTGGGGCATCTGGAATGAAAACACACAGGGCTAGTCCTTACAGAACAGATTCACACCATTCTTCCCATTTGTCACACATCTATCTCCCCTCTTCTCAGACCTGGTCTGTTCACTTTAAATTTTATATCCCTCCTCACCTCAGCCCCTCCGTAATTCTGTAACCTCCAGTTCACACTCTGAGATGACTAAACTCCTCCACTTGCAGTCTTATAAAATCATGCAGAACTGAGTCAATGGCCTACTCCTGTTCCTATGTTCCTTTTCTTGATTCAAGATTCATAGCCATGCCTTACGTTTTCAAAGCCCCAAGCTCTGGAATTCTCTTCTGGAAGCTCTGCCTCTCTCCCTCTGACCCCCACTAGTAAATCTGACCAACTAATCAGAGGGTTTCTGTTTCTTGCTCCATCCAAAACAGCACCATCCACACCAATGTGTCCAATATGCTCATTACCAGCTGAGTATACCACCCCACCCCAGGCTCCACAACTGTGTCTGCTGCATTTCCTGTACTCCCAAAATCTTTCCCTCTCTCCCAGAACCACAACAGCAGTCCCCTCTACCTCACTTTCCACACATCCATATTCACCAGACCATTCTGACCCTTTTCTATCACCTTTCGTGTGAGGCCATTATCAGACACACCATTCTGTCTGCTCCTGTTACCATTAATATCTGGAATAAAGAATCTATTCATTGCTATGAAACCACTGTCGGAAAAACCCATCTGATTCACCAATGTCCTTCACGGAAGAAAATCGGCCATTGTCACTTGGTCTGAATTCTATGTGGCTCCACACCACAACAAAATGGTTGACTCTGAACTGCCTTTTGAATTGACCTAGACAACCACTCAATTGTATCAACTGCTATGAAGTCTCAACAAAGAAAAGAAACTAGACAGACCACCTGGCATCAATGTAAATGACAATGGCAGAAACACCCTGTTAACCCTGCAAAGTCCTCCTTACTAACATCTGAGAGCTAGTGCCAAATTGGGAGAGCTGACTCACAGACTAGTAAAGCAATAACCTGACAGTCACACTCCTGGAATCATACCTTACAGACAATGTCCAAGACACCACCATCACCATCCCTAGATATGTCCTGGCTCAGCAACAGGTCAGACCCAGCAGAGGTGGTGGCACAGTCAGGAGGGAGTTGCCCTGAGAGTCTTCAACATTAATGCCAGATCCTACTAAGTCTCATGACATCAGGTTAAACATGGACAAGGAAACTTCCTGCTGACTACCACATACCACCCTCCCTCAGCTGATGTATCAGTGCTCCTTAATGTTGAGCAACACTTGGGAGGAAGCACTGAGAATGGCAAGGGAGTAAAATGCCCACCAGCTGGAGTGGCTCAGCAGCAGTACTAGTGATCGAGCTGGTCACGTCTTAAAGGACATAGCTGCTAGACTGGATGTGTGGCAGATGGTAAGGGAATGAACATGAGGGAAAAACATACTTGATCTCATACCAATCTGCCAGCTGCTGTTGTACCTGTCCATGACAGTAATTGGTAAGAGTGACCACCACACAGTCCTTCTGGAGACAAACTCCCACCTTCACATTGAGAATAACCTCCATCATGTTGTGTGGCACTATCACTGTGCTAAATGGGACAGACTTCAAACAGATCTAACAACTGAAGACTGGGCATCCATGAGGTTCTGTGGGCCATCAACAACAGCGGAATTATACTCCAGCACAATCTGTAACCTCATGGCCCGGCATATCCCCCACTCAATCGTTACTATCAAGCCAGCGGTTCAACCCTGGTTCAACGGAGAGTGCAGGTGGTCAAACCAGGAACAGAACCAAATGTACCTAAAAATAAGGTGTCAACCTGGTGATGCTACCAAACAGACTATACTTGTGTGCCAAACAGCATAAGCAGCAAGTGATAGACAGAGCTAAGTGAGTTCACAACCCATGTATCAAATCCAAGCTTCACAGTCTCCTTCTGTCCACCACTGTTCACAACTCACTGGAGGAGGATGCTCTACAAATGTCCCCATTCTCAATGAAGGAAGAGCCCAACACATCAGTGCAAAAGATGAGGCTGAAGCTTTCACAGCAATCTTCAACCAGAGTTGCCGAGTAGATGATCCATTGCGGCCTCCTTCAGTGGTTCCCAGCATCACAGACGCCAGTCTTCAGCTAATTTGATTCAATTCACATGATATCAAGAAATGATTGAACATACTGGATACTGCAAGGGCTATGGGGCCTGACAACAATCCAGCATTATTACCGAAGACTTGTGCTTGAGAACTTGCTGCTGCCCTAGCCAACTCTCCAGTACAGTTATAGCACTGGCATCTATCCAAAATTGCCCAGGTATGTCATGTACACAAAAAACAGGACAAATCCAACCAGGCCAATTACTGCCCATCAGTTTACCCTACTCAGCAATAACCTGCTCAGTGATGCCCAGTTTGGGTTCCGCCAGGGCCACTCAGCTCCTGACCTCATTACATCCTTGGTTCAAACATAGACATGAAAGCTGAATTTCAGAGGTGAGGTGAGAGTGACAGCTCTTTACATCAAAGCTGCATTCGACCAAGTTTGGCATCAAGGACCCCTAACAAAACTGGTATCCCGAGAAAATCCTCGCTGGTTGGAGTCATATCTGGCATATAGGAAGATGGCTGTTGTTGTTGGAAGTCAGTCATCTCAGGTCCAGGACATCTCTGCGGGAGCTCCTCAGGGTGGTGTCCTAGGCCCAACCACCTTCAACTGCTTCATTAATGGCCTTTCGTCCATTAACAGGTAAGAAATGGGGATATTCTCCCACGGTTGCACAATGTTCAGCATGATTCGTGACTCCTCAGATACTGAAGCAGCCATGTCCAAATGCAAATTTAAAAGGTCTTGAGCGGACAAGTGACAAGTAACATTTGCGTCACACAAATACTAGGCAACAACCGTCACCACCAATAAGAGACAATCTAACCACCACACCGTGACATTCAATGGGGTTACCATCACTGAACCTCTACTAACAACATCCTGGGGATTACTATTGACCAGAAACGCAACTGAACTCGCCACATAAGTACAATGGCTACAAGAGCAGGTCAGAAGCTAGGAATTATGCAGCGGGTAACTCACGTCCTGACTCCCCCAAGCCTGTCCACCACCCACAAGGCACAAGTCAGGACTGGATTGGAAAACTCCCCACTTGCCTGGATGATTGCAGCTCCAACAACACACAAAATCCTGGAATTCCCCCCCTAACAGCATTGGGGGTCAACTTACAGCACATGGACTACTGTGGTTCAAAAAGACAACTCACCACCACTTTCTCAAAGAAAAATTAGGGACAGCCAATTAATGCTGGCCAGCCAGTGATGCCCAGTGATCCACAAGTGAACTTTTTAAAAATTCTGACTTGATGTCCTGTCACTGTCACCACCCCCCTTCCTTTCTCATGCACTTTTTCCACAGAAGTTGCCCATTTGCCTCCTCACTCCTTACTGTCCAAATTCAAAACATGCCTTCCAGGTAAAGCAGTTATTTACTTGCACATCACTCAACCTAGTCTACTGAATTCACTGCTCAATGTGGTCTCTTCTACACTGGGGAGATGAAACACAGACTGGGTGACCACTCCGTGGAACACTTCTACTTTGTCTGCAAAGTGATTCAAAGCGATCAGCTACCTATTTTAAATCTCGACCTTGCTCTCTGCCTGACCTCCGTCCTAAGCTTACAATGCTGTTGCAGTCAAGTTCAATGTTAGCTGGAGGACTCTACAACCTTCTGGCCCCAACATCAAGAATACCAGATCAAAATTTCTGTTTCTGTTTTGTCTTGTAGAGAAGATCTGATATTAATTCTGCTTTTCACATTTGCACCTTCTTTACCTCTATTAAATCTTTTCATTCAGGGAGAACAATCCCAGTTTCTTCAATCTATCCTCATAACTGAAATTCCTCATCCCTGGGACCATTCCTGCAAATCACCTCTGCACTGTCTTCAATGCAATCACATATCTCCTATAATACGGCACCCACAACAGTTCACAATACTACAGATGAGGACTATCAAGTTCAATATCACCTCCTTGCTCTTGTACACTATGTCCCTAATAATAAAGTTAAGAACACTGTATGCTCTATTAACTGCTCTCTCAACTCGTCTTGCCACCTTCCAATTATCTGTGCACATGTGCACCCAGGTCCCTCTGCTCCTGCAGCCCTTTTAGAATTTATATCATCTTTTTAAATTATATTTTATGATTGATTATATTGGAGTTCTTCCAATTCTCATACATTAACCTGAACTGTTAACTGTTTCTCTCTCCTCAGATGCTAACTAATCTGCTGGAGTTTCTCCAGCATTCTCTGTTTTTATTTCAGATCTTCAGGATCCACAGTATTTTTGCTTCTGAACCAAAGACAAGGTGAACCTCGCTGAAATGGGACATTGGCAATCCAATGTAGGGGCGGTTATTTTGGGATATTGGCTAGTCGTCTTATAACCCAGCCTGCAAAAGGTCTCTGAGGATTCCCTTCCTCTCTATCGGTTTGTGGAGGCACTCACCATGAACAGTCAATTCAAAGTTGCAGCAATCAAACCGATCCTTGTCAGTCACTTCACAGCGATAACCTCCTGCATCGTTGCTTTTTGCCTGTATGATATGCATCTCAAACGTGTAGACCTGTGTGAACCATAGAGAGAGCCAGCCAGGTTAAACTTTCTCTCACTGAAGATACATCACCAGAAAGGATAAGAACTTTGAGATTTAGTGAACCTCCACCTGGTCACTGTTCTCTAACTTTGACACATACTGTAAACTGTGCAGGATGTGAGAAGTTCCTGCTTCCTCATGAGACAGGGTGAAAGATGTCTCAGAAAGGATTAGCCCTTCTGTCTCCACCAAGTACTGAATTAGGTTGAACATGAGTGGCATACTCACTGGCTTCACATCTACAGCTCAGCAGTGACATGTCAGACGAGACTATTGGTCTTTACCAGAAGAATGACTGCTTGCACTGGCCCTCACCAAGGGAGTGGCAGCTCACTTTGGCCCTCACCAAGGGGGGGAAATCAACTGCTTGCTATTGGCCCTCTTGGGTGGAGTGACTTTTCACTATTGGGCATGACAAAGGTCGGTTACCTTGCTGTTACGATCGTATGTCTCCTTCAGCTGGAGATGAGCTCCGGTTTTACTGGACACATCCATCCACTTGCCTTTGAACCATCGCACCATAGGCTTCTTCAGAATGTTGGTGCCCTGGACACGGCTGGTGAAGATAATGTCCGACCCTAACCATCACATGACAACACATAGCGCATCAGACACAGCACAAGCGACAACAGAACACACCAGGACCAGGCACTGTGGGGAGGGAGTGTGAGGGAGTGAGTGAGAGTGTTTAAAACAAGTGAGGGTGGGGGCGGGGAGCAAGGGTATTTGGGAATGGGAGTAGTAAGGACGTTTGGGAATGAATGGGGGAGGGGGCTGGGGGAGTGGGGGCATTTGGGAACAAGCAGGGGTGGTGGGGCAAGAGGAGGACGTGAGGGCAGTATGAAGTGTGTGTGTGAGGACTGAGTGCTAGACACCATGACCCAGGGCACAGGAGTAACAAAGCAAGAGGTGAGCGAGTGAAGAGAGTATATGGGGATTGCATATGGGTGTAGGTGTCTGGGAAATGGGGTGGGGTTATAGAGTGGGATGATGGTCTTCGGTCAAGTGTTTGTATGGAGAGAGGGTATGGGATTGGTGAGGTGGGGCTATGGTGTGGGTATGTAGGTAAAAGGGTATTGGGCTATGGGGTGTGGGTATGTGGGTGTCAGGGCATGGGGCTAAGGGGTATAGGGTGTGGTTAATGGGGTGTTGGGGTATGGGTCAGGGTATATGGTGTGGCTAAGGGGGGTAAGGGGTGTAGGGGCAAGTGGTGTAGGGTGTGAGTGTGGGGCTAAGGGGTATAGGGTGTGTGTACGGGGTAAGGGGAAAATCGGCATGGGGTTAAGGGGTGTAGGGTATGGATATGGGGTGTAGGGAGTGGGTATGGGGGTAAGGGGCATATTGGAGTAGGAGGGTATTAGGTTTGGGATAAGAGGTATAGGGTGTAGGTATGGGCTAAGGGATAAGGGGTGCAAGTTGGACTGTCCTAAACTAACAGTCCCTATGTTCACTCCTTACCGACAGTCACTGTCCCAGACTGGGGTCTTTCCAGAAACAAGGGAACACCAGCTTGGGAAGATGCCCCCTCGACACTGCCCCTCTTCAGGGCTGTTCCAGAAGACGCTGGAACTTTCTCGCTGTCACACACTTCCTGATCCGTGCTGTGAGATTCTGGAACCTTCTGTCCGCTCAGCTCTCCAGCTGCTGCCTCTCTGCTGGCTGTTGATGAAACATTCCCGGTGACAGAGGCTGCCGATACAATGAGAGAAATGACAGCTCATGTTCCTTGGGAGGACCATGTCCTCACATTTGGTTTTATAGACAGAGCTGTGAGCCTCACTGAGAAAGGCTAGACCCAGCACAGATATGATGCACAGAATGGTCTCCTCTGCACCATGAGTGTCAGGTTAGTTGCTTTTCCCATCCAGGTCGATGTTACCATAAATGTCCCAACTACGCAACCTCGCCTGAGGTGTGGTGACCCTGATGTTAAACTCACCACCAGTCGTTGCTCTCTGATGAGGGAGCAGCACTCTGGGACTATGTTGATTCTACTTTTACCCATTTTTACACTCCCCTGAGAATCTCTGACATCTCTGCCCTTTTATCTCGACAATGTTGTCGAGGAGAATACTGAGATACAGGCTATTAGACTAGACGGGATTGAGGTTCATAAG